CTGTTCCATAGTTGATTGAATTTACGTGAGTTACTCGAATCTATTATTAGAATTTCAATGCGATCTTATTTGACCGAGAAATAACAAATCTACTGACAAATATGTATTTTAAGAAAAATGCGTGATCGGCAGTATTTCAACTCATTCTGCATGGGTTAAGATAGACAGTCCTCAATGATTGAGGCAATTGAAAGAATCTTTATGTTTTTCGGATGACTTTTCATGAAAGTACATCGTTATTGCAGCGGCTACGTCATATATGTAAGGGAAGTTAGCAGTCGATTCGAGTTTTTTGCAAAACGATTCGCTCCATTGAGTGAGCCACACCAGAGATGCAATGGACCAGATGCAGCTCGACGAGCTCTATCGATTAGTATAAGTTTTACCTTCAGAAGAATACAATTTTAGGGGTTATGATTGCTAGAAGATCTGTAGGAAGGCTTTGGGCCCGGATTCCCTCTGACGATTCACCCCACGAACTGAGCCACTTTTGGAACTTATCTCATTCGATGCAGCTTGACGAATTCCATCGATTGGCATATGTTTCGTTCGAAAAAAAAAATTTCGACCATTAAGGTTTCCGAAAAACCTCCAGCGGGATTCGCAAGGTGTTGCCTTCGATGACCCATTCCAGCGCTTGAGCCACTAATGAAACAAAGTTAAATCGATGCAATGTGAGAAGCTCTTTCGAATGATGTATGTTTGCATATAGTTGTTGTATATGTTCATACATAAGAACACATAAAATCAAGATATGTACGCTTTTTGTGGTTTTTTCATTGAACAATTTGCTGGACAATTTGAATTACTGATTGATTAAAGCTGAATCGTTGCTGTATGCCGAGTCGTCTCGAATGATATGTTTCATTATAATTTTCCTTGGTGATAATGTTGTGAATAAGGGTCCTGCTGACTATAATTTTATTCTTATCAAAGCGAAACACATGCCAATCAATAGAGCTCGTTGAACTGCATCTAATGAGATAAGTTCCAAAAGTGGCTCGGTTTGTGGAGCGAATTGTCAGAGGGAAAACGTTTTTTCAATCTTTTTCTATGGGGAAAAGATCAATGTCTTTGTTTTCATTTCGGCTACTAAGCTCTCAGACAAAATCTGATTATACTATTCGATAGAGCTCGTCAAGCTGCATCTGACTCACTGTATCTCTGGTGTGTCTCACTCAATGGAGCGAATCGTTTTGCGAAAAACTCGAATCGGCTGCTAACTTCCGCTACATACATCATATTTCCCGTTTTAAACTCGCAGAAATTTCGCTGAAAGCTTTTCTTTTTAATATCACTTTCGTAAGTTCGATGAAAATAACAGTGTACACTCTAAAAAAAATCGGATTTTTACCGAACTCCCAAAAAAGGTTCCGGAGATTTCTAAAAGCGTCCAAAGGTGTCAAAAGTCTCAAAAAAAGGATAAAAAAATCTACGAAATCTTTAAAGGTTCTTACCGTGTGTCCAGGATAAGAACCTTTTACTGCGAAACCTTTTTCAAAGTTCCGTACAGCAGAAAAAGGTTTCGTAGGCAAATACGAAACCTTTAGAGTTTCGTATTAAACTCTAAGAAATCATGAGGGTTTAGTACGAAACTATTAGGGTTTAATAGGAAACTCTAAAGGTTTCGTATTTGCCTACGAAACCTTTTTCTGCTGTACGGAACTTTAAAAAAGGTTTCGCAGTAAAAAGTTCTTATCCTGGACACACGGTAAGAACCTTTAAAGATTTCGTAGATTTTTTTATCCTTTTTTTGAGACTTTTGACACCTTTGGACGCTTTTAGAAATCTTCGGAACCTTTTTTGGGGGTTCGGTAAAAAACCGATTTTTTTTGTGTACCTTGTATCTAATGTAGCTTTTCACATGTTTTTTTTGTTAGCTACTTTTAATAAATTCTAATCGATTACTTTGCTCAATTAGCCATGAATAATTACAGTCTAAAAAAAGTACAACAGGAAATTTAAAAAGTTTTCGGTCTAATATTCAACTGGAACGAAATTTAAAAGAGTCACGTATAAAAAATGCAAAGTTTTTCTGGTTGTAAAACGTTTTAACAGGTTTCAAATTTTTTGTGGGAGAAGTTTTTGAGATTTCGCAAGAAATCTTACAAGAATGTGTCTGTACATCCCGTATAAGAACATTTTCAGTTCTCATTTTCCATTTTGTTTTATGGTATTCATTGTGTTTTTCACAATTTTTGCGTCATTGCCCTGTTATAAATCTACTATAATTGATCAAATTGGAAATAAATTGTATTCAATTATCATGTTGATTGATTATTTTTGATGATCAGTGCTGCATTTTACTCTTATAACTAGGTTGACCTATCTTGAATGGCATATAATGGATTAAAATAGATTAAGAGTAGGAAAATAAAGTAACGTACTCTTCATACTTTGTCAATATTGCTTTCATTCTTCTTAAGCCACTCTATCTCTTGTGCTATATTCATTGTGCATCAATTCAACTACTAACGTTTTAAAGCGTCGACAGTTATTTTAGATTTTGAGCTGTGAAACAATATTTACTTGATTCTCCAATCGTGGTTTTCACTTGAATTTCCTACACATGCCGATAGATGTTATCGTCGCGGGTTTGCCACGTTCGGGCACATTATCGGTGCGCGAGGCTCTTATGCGATTGGGTTTCAACAAGACAATGCATATGACTGTATTAATAGAGGATCCTCTTCTGGTGGCACTCTGGACAGAAATCTATGAAAAACATTTGGAGAAGACATGGACGACTGACGATTGGCGACGCCTGTTCGATGAACGACTTCCAGAGTATGTCGCAATCACCGATGCCCCATGTTGTGATTTTGCAGTTGAAATTGCTCGAGCCTATCCTGAAGCGAAGGTAGTTTTCCTGTACTCTTTTTCTTTCTCACATTTTTTTCTGCTCAGGTTATTTTGCTCTATCGAGACCCTGAAAAATGGCTAACCTCCTATCAACATCTTTTAGCCCAATTTAATGTTTCCACCTTGGAGCGTATCGTTATTTCGTTTTTAAGGACCATTCATGCAAAGTTTCAGCTGGAGAAGTGTCGACGGGCCTGGTGGCGAGATGTGTATAATTATCCTGATGCAGGCAAAGAGGTCATGCCATTCTATTTGAACAAAGTCAGAACAGCGATTGAACCGAAGAGAATTTTGGAGTTCAAGGTGCAAGATGGCTGGGCTCCCCTCTGCAAATTTTTAAACAAAGAAATACCGGAAGAAAATTTTCCTCATCTTAACAATGCTCAAGCACTAGTTGAATGGAAAAATCAGAAGAAAAGAGAAGCTATGGCACCTTGGATAAGGCGACTCAAGCAAGCAGTCACAGTCGTGATCACGCCGATCATCTTTGCATCAGTCTATAAGCGAGTCTATAGACGAAGAACTTAATTTCTTGACTGGATCTAACACCATGAAGCTTGAAGACAGTAGAAGATAAACAATAATATTCTCCATCATTTGAGAGAGCTTGTACAAACGAAATTCTATTTCTGTTCTTAATTATTTGATCGAAAATAATTTCAATTATGAACGTTCACTCGTATTTTATAAGTGTCATCATTAGGAGTCTCAAGAGAGATTTTGTGACGTAATCGATATACCTTTCAATATGTTTAAGCGACAATATAATGCGTTTAGCTGTGCTCAAACACGAACCTGCAAGGGATTCCCAAAAACTATTTTACAGATGTACATCCAGCTGGAATTTGGTTTGTGTTCATTCGATACGAAAAAAGACGATTTTTCATCGTATTCAACACTCATTATTGATCCAATACAGAGCTTATTCAGGTTCAACAACAATGTTTCAGACGAATATGCCATGTCCTTCTCAACTGGCAAGTCGCTGATTGTAACGAAAATGGAGAATGCAGCTCTACCACTGGTTGGGCATTGATGTTAATGAGCTACTAGTGCATTCCACTATCGTTATGACAAATGGAGAGGCACATTAAATGTCTTTGATCCCATTGTGGGGATGATGTTTATTCGACTGTGCACTACACCCAATTGTGCATACATCCAAGTGTAATTATCTAATACATAACATGAGCTTATATAGAAGAGGGATGGGAGAGAAGAGAGGGAAAAAAGAATACAATACCAGAGGAGAAAGGAAAGAGGAATGATATAACAGAACATTGCGCAATCGTATATTTTACATATGAAGGACACGTTTATATACGAAGAGGTCAAGGAGAGAACAGACATAGGGGAACAGTATAGTATACGATTGAATGACGTTACACAATGAGAAGCACATAACGACAGCAAGAGAATAAGGCTAAATCACGCATAGACGAACGTAATAGCAACACGATCCACGAACACTGTGCATCATAGATTGTACGAGAACACACTGAGAAATACATGATATCACATACGCTACTATGCCTGTTGGCACACTGATGTTTGTACTGCGGCAGGAGGGGAAAGGAATATTTCGCACTAACTTTTCATTACGATCTCCAGTAACATGTGTTCGTTACGATCATCTGACATAAGAAAAAAAGACAGGGTGTTCGAAATGAAAATTGCCCAGATGATCGTAACGAACAGTCATGGTCGACTTTGACATATAAAAACTTGCAATTTGACTGGAGTTCGGAGTGAAAATCACCAGAAGATCGTAATGAAAGTTAAGACAAATAAGATAGTGAATGTTTGAGTGTGGGTGTTGACCTTCTCTTCCACTCACATCCACACCTCAAGCTCTAGCTCAACGACTTCATAAGACTTCATAAGACTGCATAAGACTTCAGGAGACATCATGGGACTTCGTGAGACTTCAGAAGACTTCAAGAGTGAAGTCTCAGTTGTTTCTCCCTCAGAGTTTTCATATTTATTTTATAACTTTCTTTATGAATTCGCACAATAAGTCTTTTAAAGTTTTTCAAAAGCAAATAATAAAATAAAAGTTAATCAATATTTATTATGTCATTTTGATAAGAAATAAAAGACGCGTGAGTATGAAATATAAGAGTCTTGAAAGAATTCATTTATGAGTTTGTCGGTGGTAAAATAAATCTGCCACTAAATAAGACAATATTTTGTCGACTTTCACGAATGAGGAATAGAAATGGATGATCAGGTTTAAATCCAATGGGCTGTGGTGGTGGATTTATTTGCTCATGACAAATGATGATAGAGGCTGTATCTGCTGCTGCTTCTGATCCTAAATGAAATAATAAAAAAAAGATAAAGGAAAATCTGTGAATTGCTAAACATGCCTTCAAACGGATATCAAAGATTTAGTGCAAACATATTCAATCTTTTTATTTTAATGTATCAGAAACAGAGATACCGGCAGGTCACTTTTTTGCGGTCTGGTCTAGCCTGCAGGCCGAATCATGTTTCTGATTTTGTGAATATGCTTAATTTTACAAGTCTACATAAGTGTCATTTTCCTTTCAGTTGTTCACTTCGTTTATTTTTATGAAAACAAGATAATTATCAATTCTTACACGAGATAGAAAATTCAAATAGAGTGATAGTAAGCAACAATTTTCATACAAAAAGTACATTCCATTAACACCGTGCCCTTGATGATATTAGCAGTGTTTTGCATTATCGAAAAGATGTAATCCTGATAACTAAAACAACTTGCAAGGGTACATACAAAAAAGCGGTAATAGTAGGTATACAATTAAACTGTTGAAAGTATGTGATACTTATAAAAACAGACAAGAATCTTTTACACTTGACAATATATTTTAGTAACAGCATGTTCGCGAAATTCTCTATCCTACCGCTTGGGGTCTAAAAATACTTTTTGTCAGTGAGCGCAAATCCTCTATATGCTGCTATATTACTAACCCCTTCCTCCTGATAATAGGAGACTTCTTCGGAGGAACAATACGCTGCACGCAATAGAAGACCTTCTTTAGCTAATTTATCGAAATGATTGGGACTTTAATCAGTGAATTTACATCAAACTATGTCTAGTTTTCAAGATTTTGAGTCGGAAATCTTGAACAAACAGAGGTAAACATTATTTCTTGGCTTTGGAAGCTCTAAAAATATCTTTTGAAACCAGTAAAATCCTTTTGGTTTTCTGAAAAACTTTTTTAGTTAAAATTTATTTGAAGAAATGAGATACAAGAGAAGACTCCCTGGAAATATTTTACGTTTGAGCATAATAAAAGATCTGAGAACTTCCATTGTGGTGGAGGGATATTACTGGTAATAAGTAATAATTTTGAAAAGTCATAAGAATAATAAGGGTAGTAAAGTAAAAAGGTAACAATGGGTGGGTCGAAAGTTTTTAGACAAAATGTTTCTTCATTTTTTATACGCTAAAAAGCCTTCTCGCCCAATGAAAAACAATAGATTAGGACCAGAGTATCGTTCTCTTTTCGAATATGAGCTCAACATATATGTTTGTATTTAGTTTTATTGGTGAGTAGTGAAATTATCTTTGAAAACCTTAAAAATTAGTTCGAAGAGAAACTTTTTCGCACATGTTCTATTGGGAACCAAAATGTAACATTGAAACTTTGGTTCATATATAAGATTGCAGAGCGGGTGTGGGCGTGGGTAGGTGTGAATGTGGGGTGTGTAATAGATAACAATCACACCCACACCAAAGAAAATTACCAGACAAAGGTAATAAGTAAGAAAGTAATAAAAATTATTACCAATTACCAACTAAAAGTAATAAAAAAGTAATAGGAATGTGGCACCCCTAGTCCCACAGCACTAAATTGATGCTTGTGTCAAAAAATCTCTGCCAGCATCAAATCAATTTGTTAACGCATTCTCAAATAATAAAGCCATGCATCAGCATTTGATTTCTAACATTAATGAGCCAGGCCGGAAGCTCTGATCACGAACGTGTATTTTATTACCGAGAATTTTTTTTTTGATTAAGTTCTGAATAAATTTTATATAAGCAAATATTGAAGCATATATGAACACGATAATCATGTAGATCTAAGAAACTTTCCAGTTAATAGCGTGAGATTCTTTTTAATTTCTCGAATAGAAAACAAAAACAGATGATCGTTGTCAAATTCAATGAATTCGATTTTTGATGCTTTTCGATGTATATTTGTAAGCTCTACAGCAGGCAGCTATTGCTTTTGATCCTTTGCTGAAAAGAATAAAAACTAAAAATATTCCCTTTTTAAGATATCAATCAGTTAAAACAATCCAATAACAGCTATTAACATGAATTAAGATGTCATTCGAATCACAGATAAGAAAACAGAACTCTGAATGTGATGGGACAATCCTATTCCATTCCATTTCTTTCTATGGAATTGTCTTTTGTTCTCTTGAAACAATCCAAGATTTTTTTCTGTTGCAATGTGTTTCAACAGGGTACTTTATAGGCGTTTTGAGTAGTAGAATTCATGTTAACATCATTGTTGATCTTATTCTTCAACATAAATAGGTTCATTGCTGATTTTTTTCTACTATTTTTCATGAAAAAATTTTACATCTTTTTTTCAGAATATTAAACAATGAAATCTACGACTATTTTTGTGGAATTCTATGTGCTTCACACTAGTTTTTATTTTTTAACGCACTCCTCCATAACTATTAATTATGTAGATAAAGAGACATGATTATAAAGAATCTTAAGTTCACATCACTTTTCAACACAATTTTTTGATAAGCTTAGTTTAAAGAGAAGTAATCGGCAGTTAGCTGGTTTTGATGAATTCTGTTGAATTCACTATAATATTCATTGTGGTTCACCAATATCTTAATACCCTAGATTCGTAAGTTCCTTCTTGACGTACACATTTTTCTAGAACGAATCTTAGAAGGTGGAAAAGCCAAAAAGCAAACGTCTCTAAAAATGTTCTTGGAATTTAATTATTGCGCAATATCATGTTCTATTTTTTGTTAATTTTTTTGTATCAGAAATGAAATGAAAAAACACGTTTAATATTGATTTTTACAGCATAAAGACAGCCCTTTCAAATGATGTATTCGAAGTTAAATTTACTGTCGGTTTGTATACTAAAATATGGCTTTTTCTGAAAGAGACCGTATGATTTGGTCGTTCTTAGTACTTTACTGTTTTGCAGCAATACAAAATCCTTTTTGAATTGTTTCTTTTTCTGCTGAGTTTCTATGATCTGGCATATTTCGAAAAATATAACGCACAAAGAATTCACTTCATGCATGGTTTCTAGAGATTGTGGTTAATGTCCTTTTCAACTGATAGTTCTTGCAAAACACTGTATTTTACAAAAAATTTTATTTCCAATGTTTTTTTTGACTCGAGAGTCAAGAACGGATCTAAAAACTTTTTCTAAAGCTGCTATCAATAGACCTTTTGATGTACTACATTTTGGTGTATTTTTTGTTGGAGTTTGATCCATGTGGCTCCATATAATTGAGAATTAGAAACTTTTACAGTTACAGAAACGTTTCAAGACACTTTTTTAGAGATGTTTGGTATTCGTTCTAGAAAAATATGTCTGCTACAAAATTTATAGTTGAGACATTGGTCTTTCCAACAAACAAAAAAAAACTTCATTGGTTTAGAAATTGGCAATATGGTTTAATACAGTTTGACCTTTTTGCAAAGACTTTTACATCGCATGTTATGTGATTAGTATCAAAAAAAATAAATGTCAAATAAAATTATCTAAACATGAACTGATAGAGGAAAACGAAGATAATCGAATATGCAAGTCTTATAAGCCAATTCAAGGCTTAAAAAAGAATCTTTTTTTATGAGATGTGTTGCCCGACGGGATACGATGCGACAAACCAGTTTGTTTCCATGGGATCATTTTTTCATCCCATTCAGAACTCTGTAAGAAAAATATTTTCAGTGTGTTTCATACTCAGTTATATTAGTAGCTTTTAACTTTTCAACGAAAGACTCGAAGAAAAATTTTTAAGAAATATAATAAAATATTGTACTGTTTTTCCCAATGACAAACAAAAATGATCAATTGGATTTAAACTCAATTGCCACATTCATTATCTTCCAACCATATTTTTCTCGTTCTATCATTACTCTTGTTTCTTCAGAAACTTTACAATTAAGATAAATTGCCTTTGTTCACTTACGTCAATAAACGCTTTGTGAATAACCTAGAATATTACACTGATTAGCATTTTCTTATCAATAAATTATTTATCTTGCTTATTGTATAAATAATCTCTATTACTTTTTCCACTAACGATACCTGTAAAATTTGCTTTATAATTACTAAATGCATATTTCTTTCCAAGTTGTTGAACAATATCACTTAATTGAAGTGTCGCTTCCATTTTAAATTTTGGTAAATATAAATGAAGCTCTTATGTTCTTGTACTTTGATGACTTAATAATTTTTGTTCTACAACATCTAACTGAACTCCTCGATTAGGTAAAATCACCATAAAAACAAACTCAACATCTTCATTTTCACTTTTATATGGTACATGCACAATTTGTACATGTAAATCGTTACTTTCAGCATAAGCAAATTTCTCTCGTTGATGCATTAATGCTACTTTAGAAATTTTACCATTCGCTTTATGAAAATCAGCATTTTCGTTTGTTAAATTTTTGCTAAATTCTTTTTATCCATGTACCCTATGATTCAATTAATAACAACAAATTACTTTTCTTTCACTAAAATTTAATATTTACCTTAAAATAAATACTATTAATAATTATTAATCTTGCCTCAAGTGTCACGTCTTTTATTGAAAGTAAATCTCGAATTAAATTATTTGCTTGTTGTTCAACCCATGCATTGATTCTTTGAACAGCTTGAGCAACTTCATTTTCAAAATCTTCCTGTTTAATATCTGCTTTAAACGAATTTTGAACAAATTTTTAATATTCTTCTTGAAGTTGATATGCTTTTTGTGCATAAAGACGATTGGTTAATTTAAGTTGCACTTGTTTATCTTAATTAGCAATAGAAAAGATATGCATAATTTGTTCAGCTGTTTTTATTAATTGTTTTTTTTTTGATGATGCTTCACATGTTTTTAACATTTGATTTAATATTTCTTGTTGAGCACCAACTGTGCACATTGACATCGCAAGAGAAATACTTGCTGGTGAAACAAATATATTTTCATTCTTCTTATTTTGACTAACAGTGGAATAAATTTTGAGACCAAATTGTTCGAAACTTGTAGTTATTGATGATGATAAAGCCACAAGAAGGAGAAGTAAATGGATTACTGTCATCAAAATCATATCTTCTTCAATAGAAATATTTATTTTGTTGCAGAAATATTTTAGGTTCTTGATAGATATTATCCTACTGTTTCATTTTATTCTCAAAAAAGGGATAAAAATTGTCAATAAAAATGCAATGAATGATTCTTTAAATGTCGAGACTCTCATTCGTTCTACATTTCAAGAATTATCCTTTTTCTTTTTTTTGTTAAGAATTTTCATCGCTATTTTGAGGATAAAAACATTAAAATAATTTCTGTTAAAAGCTATAACTCGGCTATTGGTATCCCTATGACAACGAATATATTCTTCAGAAGAGTATGGAACTATAGAACCGTCCTAAATTCTTCAATCCCTGATTTTCTTATTGACTTATGCTAGAGTGAGTCATTTATTTATTAATGAAAGTCCATGTTACTACTGTTTCTATGGATTTATGTATATTGTAGCCACTCTTCACTGATCGGAACCATGATCTTCGTTTATTGAATTATTACATTGGATGTTTTTTAGGGTCAAATACTGAAGGCAAAAAAAGTGAAGTCTACTTTACACGATATTTTATTATAGAAGAGTCATTTGCATTATTGTCTTGCATCGGGTCAGGTTACAGTTTGGACGGCTTCTCTGTACTATCAATCTAATGTGTGTGATCAACACACGCACCGAACTAACTAGAAAGGATGAACATCGAAGCTGATGTGCTTGATGAGGAACTTGTTGAATTTACCCACTCGACCCGATGCAAAGCTCTAATTCACATAAATTTCCAGAACAACCAATCGATGGCCTAATCGTACAAAACTCTCTTTACTATTCTCCATTTTCTTAATGATTTCTTGTTAGATCTAGAGGGTGAAAACTTCGGTAAATGACTGAATAGTGAACTATTACTTTCTTTATTGAATATATGTGCTTACTAAGAAGAGAGAAGAACATGTATCGACAGAACGAAGGATAGACGATTTATATGAAGTGAATGAATGATTATCGCCCTTTATCTCACGAGGGGACCTCTGCAGCTGCCAAGAAGCTTTTGAGCTCAAGTTTTGCCCACAAGTAGATATGGCATAGGCTACAACAAAAAAATATAAAAGAATGGGTGTGGGTGCGATGTGTAAACTAGAGGACACCCACATCCCACACACACCGACACCCCACACACATCGATACCACACACCCGCACCCACCAACACCCCACATCCATCCCACACACTCCACATCCACCCACACGCCACATCCCACACCTACACCCCACACCCACACCCCACACCCACGCATCCCACCCGCTCGGCAGTCTTGAACATATCGTTTGCTGAGCGTTACAATAAGATGTTCGTAATGTCGTGACGGTTTGGATAGCAGTTCGCTCGGTTGCAGGCCTCTCCTGTGCATATTATGTGGTCGTTCTTTTCAACATTGCAACGTGATATTTGATAAGAAAATTTATTTTGCATGCATGAGTGTTAGTATCTTTTTGAAGTCTAGAGGGCCTCTAGCACTGAAATTATATTAGAGAGTAGCAAAGTCAGATAATTGTTATGGTTTTCAAGGATGAGCTTTTCCAAAATGGAAAATACAACCTTTCAACATTCACGTCTAGGCAATCGCCGAACGAGTTGCTACATATTGGGTAAGCTTTTATGATAAACTATTTACCTGTGACATCTTATATATTAGATTGAACCATTTTCAATAAGTGCTGGTAAATGGTTTCGTGAGTTCTTCGCAGATCTTCTTTCAGTCAGAACCATTTTGATGATTCCGCGTTGTATTCGATACCAGAACCCTCAAAAAGGTTCTGCCTAATTCCTTTTTTTCAGACCACATCCACACCCTTATTAAACAAAATATGGCACCTCACACCAGCCAAATAGTGTTTCATATGTTTTTCACTGTTGCTTTCTATCGGGGCCATAGGCAAAAACATATCCTGGATCGGAACTGGCACTAGGAACTGGATTTCGGGACTAGGTCGGAACCAAAACATGACTAGCCTCGCCAATGCCTAGGCGCCGGCCTACGAAAAAGTTTTCGAATTTTCATTTGACCAAATCTCATTGAAATCGTTCAATTGGAAGATTATAACTTTGAGCTCTGCTGTCATGCCGTCATCCAATAGTGACTTTATCAATTTTATTCAAGCTGAAGCGCTCACGATGATAAAAAATCAGTACCTTTTGGCATGCGATAAAAGGCATCTTCGAATACCTTGTGCCCACCCATGGCCAACAACGGTCGCACAGTCCATTTCTTCACCAGTCCATGTATGACAAATGGATCTGTTTTGATATACTTCATGATTTCTTCTTCAGTTGCATCTAGCCAAACAGACATTCCTCCCGTGGCAGCAGCTGCCCTCTCTTCACGTTGACTGTTTAAGAAGGGTCCGATCAGCACGATCTTGCCACCGTTGGATGCGGTATGAGCCTGAATATGAATATAATGGGGTGCCATGTATTGATCGACTTTATCAGGATAGTCGGCGGTGAATTCGAACTCAACTACAGTAAATTTGGCTTGCGAAGAAGAAGCAGATGAAGACTCCATCGTATGTTTGATTGTCGAGAATGCGCTATTTGGTAAGTGCGTTTGATATTAAGAAAGCAGTCGTGTAAAGAAGAAAATGAAAGAATCTTATCTCAACCCACACGACGATGCATTGAAGGGCTTTTTTTTCATTTTCTCTGCGTTATACGACCCTCGAAAACACTTATCAAAAATATAAGAGAGATAATATATCAGAGGGTGGATGTGGTTCCTTTTTTCACCTCATGTCTACACCAACGCCCACATCCTCAATGGCCATATTGTGCACTTGAGGGTGTGAGTGTGAGTGTGGGTAGGGGTATGGATGTGAGTGTGGAGTGTTGGGTGTGGGTGGATGTGGGCGTGGGGTGTGGGTATGGAGTGTGGGTGTGAGTGGGTGGGTGTGGGTGTGGGTGTGTGGGTGAGGGAGTGGGGTGTGGCTGTGATCCTTCTTTTAACTCACACTAACGCCCGCACCTACCGACACGCATATCCACCAACACCCATACCCAAACCCCAATCAGAATTAGAGACAAGGACAGTCTTGTATGAGTAAAACTCAATGCTTGCCGTTATTTGACTGCTGCATTGCATTTGAAAAATAGCGAAAAGAAAGTGTTATCAGAGCGAGAACAGACTATAATAGAAGATGAATCTACTCTATTGGATTCGTTTATCAACTGGCATAGGAAGAATTAATTGCTAACAACAGTATGATGATGCTGATGAAATCGGTAGGCGTACGCCATCTGTTTTTACTTTTACTAATTGGCAAGATTATTTTTTCTATTATAACGATGAAAAAAACGAAGAAGTAAAAAAAAAGGAATCATTTGCAAACATCGAAGACACATTGCACATTCTCTGTCGTTATTGTGTGCCGTACAAACATGAGTGTTTTGCACGCATGTTGTTAGTCATGATATACAACGTCAAGCTAAACATATAAATACAAGAAGAACAATACAATTTCGATTCATCTACTCACAAAAAATTGTGTTTCGAATCAGAATGTCAACATATATTCGTACCACATCTTTTTTTTATGTTGGTATATCTTACTCAAGCTAACGGTTTCAATGTTCTAGTTATTAGCTTGGGTCTTGAAGGTCATGTAACGCCTTTATTTGAACTAGCAAAAACTATGCAGAATCACAACGTTACATTTCTCACTACAAAACTGGCTCAATCTTATATTAATTTCGATGCTTTTGCTTCGTCTTTCTTTCGTGTTATTTATTAGAATGATTCATCCGATGCATTTTTGATCGAAACGAGGCGAGAACAAGAAGTAATGTCTACAGTTGCCAATCGATCAATATTCGATTCCGCGCCATTCATTTTAACAGTATTCTCCGCGATGATTTCATCGATTCTGGACAAGACTGTCCACACACTCATGAACGACCGTTTCGATGTTATCGTGTCCAGTACAGTGGTTGTTGATGCACCTATTTTATGCGAGAAGACGGACACACCTTGTGTCATTCATAATACGGGTGCACTTCCCAGTTTGCTCGATTTCAACTTGCCCAACATTTTTTCATTGACAACAACAAAAGATTTAACTCAACTTTCATAGCATCTTTACAATATTGCCTTTACTCTACGAATGGCTACAAAATTATTGCCAAAACTAGTACCTATTTTATATTCAATTATTCAGTCTCTTCCACGAGTATCGGGACCCTTTTACGATAGTTTCACAATACGAAGTTTACTTTTTTCAAAAACAAAATGCTTACATCTGATCAGTATGCCGATGAGGTTCTTCGTACCCAACTATTCAAATTATCATTCAAAATATTTGGGTGCATTTATGGATGAGACACGTATTGATGGTCAAGATACTGATCTTAATCGATGGGTGAAATCGAAGCCATCCAAATCGATTCTGTACGGAGCTTACGGTAGTACTTCATTGATTTCTTATAATCGAATGCGCAACTTGATTATTGGGCTAGTAAATTTTCTCCTTCAAACAATTGATACTCTACTTTTGTTCGCACTTCGCAGTGCAAATTTTGATACATATCAAGCAGTCTTGAAAGATTTACATAGCAACGAATCGAGAACTATTTTACATAACAAGCATCGAGTACGTATTGAAGAAGGCTTTGTTCAACAGAAATGAATTCTACAACAAGATTCTGTCAAAATCTTCTTGAGTCATTGTGGTATGGGCTCATTAGTAGAATCACTTTATCTTGGTAAATCGATTTTGTGCATGCCTTTTAATATGGAACAATTTGCCAATGCAATTACTGTAGTGAATTTGGACGTTGGAAAATCATTATTCATTCTACCTTCGGCTTGGCAATCTTTGATAGATCCATATAATTTTGTTAACTATACCTTTACATCTGATATTGTTACAAATAATACATTACCATTCTATCAAAGATATATGCTCGATATCTTGCTCGTATATCTTGTGCTCCCGATAACAATACTGTTCTTTTTTGATGCGTCGACGTTGCAAAAGTTCA